TCTCCATCTCTCTCTCCTTCCCCATCAGTCTCTCTCTGTCTCCTTCAACCTTCATCCATCTCTCTCTTCTGTTTTCCACCCATTCCTCTCTCTGCTCTTTCCCTTTCACGCATGATTGCCGTGAGTCCGATGTCTTGTGTTTTAGTTCTAGATCACTCAAATGCCTTAAACTGGGTTACAGAGCTGTGTACTGAGCCCTGCATGACTGTGCCAGAGAGCTGCATTCAGTCACTCACTCACACACACACTCTTCCCCTCAGAGATGAGCTCACACTCCTGTAACTGTGTATGGCTGTGTCGTCTGTACTATATCACTGCGCTGTGTTGTAAATCTGGACGCAGACAGAGGCGGAAACAGTAGGAGTGAGTACTGACCTGTGAATGACATTAGGATAATGGGGGGTTAATTCTTTTGGAGTGGCGCGTTCTCTGCCAATCCCAAACCTACCGTAAACATTTTACACACACACATACACAAAACATTAGCCTCTCTGAACGTCTAGGTTTCAAGGTTTAGAACAGGTTCTAAGCCAGAAACAACACTGGCGGTTTGCCGAGACCTGATGGAGCAAATCATCACTGTTACGTGTAAATCTTGTTATTTTTTCTTTTATATAGATATGAAGTGTTTGTGTAAGGACAGCTGATATTTGCTAATGGTGTAAAAAATATAAAGGTCAAAAAGAAATATATATATATATATATATATATATATATAGTGGCCATTCCACTGACGGAATGAAAATCAACTTAGATATTTTTATTTAATATAATCAAATAAAGGATTTTTTCCCCAGTATCCGATTAACTTAAAAAAAGTATTTTCACTGTTAAAGCAATGTAAAATTTTAATGGTCAATACCTGTTTTTTGTTTTTATTTTTTTAATGAGGTAAAATGCATATAAACAAGCCACACATACACTGCATTTTAAACCTGCTATTGTTAATTTACAGAAATAAGACAAATAAAAAGAAATCACCTTTATTATACATTTGTTTATTTTATTTGTAGTTACTGTCATTGTTACATTAAAAAAAAAATCTGAATAACCAGCTAAACTAGGTGAATTACAGTAAAAAGTAGTACTTCAATTTTTTACCGTCATTGAAAAACATATTAACATGTTTTATTTGTAGGACACTGCTGGCTCTCTGTGTGACTCTTTGTTGAGCTGCTAGTGAGCGATGAGGGGTGAAAAGAAAGAATGAGAACACACTGCTGTGAAAATAGTTCACACCTCTCCACAAAGACAGCCATGCCGAGATAAAACAAACAGCACAACTGCAACTTTCTATATATAACAACAACAAAAAATAGCTTTTAAAATTGACCAAAATATTTTACCAAATAAAAGCCATTGACACTCGTGTATGAAGATGAAAATACAGTTTGCTTTTTGGGTAGTAAATCATACACATTTCTATCAAAATACATTCCATTTACTTGCTAAAATAAAACATTGTGGGATGGTATAAACATCAAGACTTATAGGCACCTGCCAAGTAGTGAGGTCAGATCGGTAGAGTTAAGTAACAAGGTTTTGTTATGATGGCAACTATTTGTTATTAGTACCTTTATTACTAATCTATCATTGATATCAGGACAAAACCTTGAATCACCATTTTTTCCTGTTTTTTTTTTCGTATATAAATTAAAAACACCAGCAGCCATTGTGAAAATTTCATGATAAATGGAGCAAGATAAATGGTCCAAAATTACTCTTCTAACTTCCACCTTAAGTTAAAAGTTTTTCCTTCTCCACAAAAAATGTTACTGTTTTGGAGATAGAAGGTTTCAGAGATGCTGTGAAAATCCTGACCATCATGACCAATCTGTGGTCCTGTAAACCATGTATTTGTGTCTCTATTAAAGTTTCAATTTTAAACCCGTTACAGTCAAATTCATTAAACTCTGCCCTGACATGACTGTAACACTACTGCTGTGTAGAATATCTCTGTTGTTAATATGGTAAACATCGTGTTGTGACAAAAGAAACACATGACTGTAAAGGTGACATATTAGTAATGGTAAGTAATGGTAGTAATGGTAAGAGTCTGTAGCAGCGAAATTTGGATGAGAACTATTGCTTAAAACCAGGTCGTCGTAGCTGTTTGAAAGAACACGCTGTGGATGAAAGAAACCCAAAAGATTCTCAGCGATGTCACTTCTATTAATGGTTGGGAGCTCACAAGGGCACAACAGGTCATGCTTACACTGTGTTAGCTCCTCTTGTGTTGTTCATACCGAGCAATGTGGTCAAATGATGTTGTTAGTTAGGCCACAAACTAAGCAAGTGAACAGTTATCATACCAGTACATTAAGCAGTGACAGTATGATCCCTCCTGCTGCTGAAGGAATTTATCAATGATGTAATCGATGACAAAAGCTGCGTTCCAAAGCCTAGGCTGCAGCCAAGGTAGGCTGCATTTCTCATCCGCTAAGTCATAAAATGCTTCCAAAGTGAAGGACCCTTCATGTACAGCCTAGAAATGCAGCCTGCGTTCTGAGTGATTTCGAGGATGCAACAGATGTATCCTTCCAGGCCTTCGGTTACCCAAAGTTCTCTGCGCACGAAAGACGTGAAGGAAAAAAACAGCATCATGAAAATGGCGAAAAACAATGCAGTTGGAGCAGAGGTTGTTTTAAAATGTGAGTTGTTCATGTCCTTGAATTCGTCTTCATTACCATATAAAGTGTAAAATGACTGACTAATTAAAGCATATATCGCATTATAATCAGAAGTATTTGTATATATAGTTTATCATAGTACATAAGTTTGTTGGCGCATTAGCTACCATAGCAACAAACACAATGCTACGGGCTCCGTTTTCCCTCACAAGTTCCCTTACAGTTCCCTCACAAGTTTCGTACAGCAGTTATGAGAGCTAGGACCTTTCTGGTGACGTCACCACGCAGCCTGGTGTGGACGGTTTCATTTGTGTGACCAATAGGCTACTAAGAGGAGTCTTCATAGGACAGTCCTACCAAGGACCCGCCCTACCTCGGCTGCAGCCTAGGCTTTGGAACACAGCTAATGTCAGTGCTGATTCTGACTGCCTAATTTGCCTAATTTATGTCTATTTTTATTTCTGTCTAATATATGTGCAATGTGAAATTTCCTTCAGGATCAATAAAGTTCTATCTATCAATGAGGATCAGGAAGATGGTGATGGGGATGATGTATTAAAGCATATATCAGGGTGATGATAGTCTGCCAGCATCAACCTCCAACCACTAAAAACACTGTTACATGACCTGAAATTACTTCCTCTATTCAACAGGAAGACAGGTGACAGTAGGTGACTGCAGCCCTACAGCACACACAAACTTCATGAGCATAAGCACTGTTGTATGAATATTCTCCATTTACAAGTATAAATGCTTATCTGTGACTCTACGATATCTGTATTAACGTCTGTCTGTGCATAATCATAGTCATGTCACCTTCGAAGCCCAGCACATGGTTGCGTTACAGTCACAACTGAAACACAACACTAAGTACAGTGGACTCAGTTTGAGGCAGACAGCATAAGACATTCCTGAGTGATGATTCATAATCAGGTAACACTCAGCAACGTCTGATCAATATCATCCACATCTCTTACTCATCTATCCATCAACAGTTATCTCTCAAGCATTAACACGGTCATATTACAAGCCCTTGTCAGATCAGCTCTAAAACGGGGCCTCAGACTTGAATGGCAATGACCAAGAACACAGCTCACAAAACATGCCACAATACTGTATTACTGAAGCAGGCCTGGGAAACAGGTCTGTAACATCAAGAACACTGGTAACATTTCAAAAAGTCTTCTTTATGAGAGACAACCCTGCATGACCTGTCAAAAATATGCAAAGTTACCATAGAATAACACAATGCTAGTAAGCAACACATGCTTTTTTTTGAACACTTGTTTTGACAAACAAGACAAAACTTCTGTGTTTTGACATTTCAGCACTTTGAATTAAGCTGATTTGAAATTTGATTTACCTCAGCCTTGATGTATAAACAAAAATCACCACAATCATGCTGTAATTTTCATGTTTCGCAATTCATTCCTGTTATCCAACAAACAGTTTTAGTCAGAAAAAGCTGCTGTTGCTAACAATGAATGCAAGTGAACAGCCATTGCTCAAAAGACACTGTAAATTAGCGACAACCAGCATTCGCTGGTAACTAACATTTTTTGACAGAATCTTTCTTACAAGGATGCAAAACATCCAATCACTGTTAGTAAATTAGCTTTTTTTTTTAGCAAGAGACTTTTAATGAGACAAAACCCGTGAGTAAATTAGGTCTTTGATCATTTAATGACAGAAAGTGTCCAGTAATTGCTAGCATATTAACTTTCTTGTTGACTAAATCCTTCCTTTAACACACCACGTCTTTAGATTTCAGCATTTGCTCAAGAAATTACTACTTTCATGACTGAACTGTTCCTTTCATGAGGGAAAACTTTATTTATTGTTACCATATTAGCTTTTTGGACAGAGCTGGTAATTTAATCGTCCGTTTTTACTAAACCATTTCATTACTGACACTAAACTTACAATGACAGTCAGCAAATTTCCATTTTGAACTGCACTCCGTCTTCAATGAACTGGTCATTTACGAAAGCAAGATGTCAAATTAGCTTTGTTGTGACACAAGTAATCATTTAATCGCCTGTTCTTACTGAACCTCACTATATCTTCAATGACACAAAGCTTTCGTTACCTGTTAGCAAAACAGTTATTTGACAAAACAGTTCATTTGCTGAAGCAATGTCAAATGAGCTTTTGTGACAGAACTGATCATTTACGCACTGTTCCTTACTGAACTGTTTCCTTAATTAGAGCAAACCTCGTGACAGTTAGCAAACGTCTGATTTTTAAACTCATTAATTTCATTAATGAGACAAAACTCCCCATTCATTCTTAGCGAGTTAGCACGCTCAGTGACTGACCCGCTCCCTGAACGAAGGCAACGACGGCCGGTGTAACGTCGAGGCTACTCACCCGTGCGTATTTAGACGAGTAGGGGTCATCGAAAAGTGCCCAGATTCGGGGCTGCCAGACGCGCCACCAGCCCACTTTCCTCCCGTCCTCCTGCAGGCAGAGGCGCTTGAGGTCTCCGTCCGCGCCGCCGGCCAGAGCCGCGTCGTCGTCCGGCGCGTCCGGCTCGGGGCTCTCAAAGCTGTCAAGCGCTTCCTCGGCGTCGCGGTGCTGCCGGTAGTTCATCCAGCAGCACGCCTCCACGTCCGTCTCGTCTATGCCCCAGAAGGCGAGCTCTTCCTCGAACAGCGGCCCGCACACGTCGTTGGGGCAGTGCAGCTTACCCGTGCGGTAGTAGTTGAGGATGAAGGAGAAGACGGACGGGTGCCGGTCGAAGAAGAACTCATCGGCCTTGGGGTCGTAGTCGAAGTTGCTGAACGCGTCCGGCTCAGTGAGCCACGAGAGGCGCGTGCCGGGCAGCGTTTTGAGCGTGCTGCGGTACGTCTCGTGGCGCACGCCGCCGCAGTTTATCACGATTCTCTCGCTGTCCGACGGGCAAGGCATGTCGGCGCTGTAACATGCTTTGTTGGACGACTTGTTCCCACCCTTGCGCCCTTTGAATGAGGAGACACACACGGAACTGAGCATAGGGGAAAGGGGGGGGGGCGGTGATGGAGGGGGGAGGAGTTGGGGAGGGAGAGGAGGAGAGAAAGCGGAGGGGGGAGGAGTCTGAGGAGAGAGGAGAGAGAAAAAGGGGTGATGGTTAGTAAGAGGGGAGAAAAGCATAAGAACTGTTTCATGTATGTATGTGTCACCCATGTCTCCCGTTAGGCTGCAATGACAGGACGTTTGGTTGGCGAATGCCACAGTACACACACCTGCAGTGTGTAATGAATCATGTCCCAAAAGTGATCAGCACTCATGAGGACTGTGCTATCTGAGCTGCTGTGTTGTAATAGCTCACAATAACAGTAATTCATGGTGTTCATGCTAAGCAGAGAGGAATGCTTATAGTTTAGATCTGTAGCGACATCTGGGACCTACAGGATCAACACTGCAGTGCAAAAAGCTCTGAATCTTAAACACTCCTGCTATGGCTGTGGATGAAGCAGGGAAGACTTGGATATGGTAGAGCTAAATGTATGCAAAGTTGTGTAGTCGACATTGTGACGCTGCTGCCTGTCTGAATTAAACTGACCGCTGTTCTCTCTTTCTGCAGAATTACAATGTCACTCAGTAAATTAGTACAGCCAGCACTGCCGTCCACTGATCAACTGAGTGAAGAGGCAAGGAGGGAGGGGTGGTTGTTCGGTATGCACACACAGCACTGAGCGAAGGGGGGTGGAGAGAGAGAGAGAGAGAGGGAGGGAGGAAGGGAGGGAGAAAGAGAGAGTAGAGTGAATGAGTTTTTCACTGCAGTAAAGGCTGGAGTTGCTTTCTCATTTCGTCCTTTGCTCTCCCTCTATCCCTCTCTCGATCTCTCTCTCGCCCATCCTCCCTCTCTCTCTGCCACTGCAGTGCTGTCTGTTGGCTGGGATACCTCTGAGTTAGCTGTTTTCCCATACTCAAAGTAATACGCCACTTTGATATCTCTCTCTCTCTCTCTCTGTATCCCGTTCCTCTCTCGGCCTCCCTCCCTCTACTCTCCTCCCCCTTCTCCTCTCTCGCTCTCAGATTCCGCATTCAGGATTCACATTTCTCTGAAGCAACTCACTTCCCATGTCCGTCCCATGCCTTACTTTTCTCCCTCATCCCGCTGCACCTTTCTTTTGCGCTCTCACTCTATCCCTTCTCTGTTCTTCCCACTGACTGACCTCCACCTCATCCATCCTCTCTCCCTCTTTCATTTCATGCTTTATTTCCTTCTTGTTTTCTTTCTTCATATGTCTATTCTCCTCCACTCATTGACTACTTTATCTTCTACTCTGTTCCCATCCTGTCCTCATCTACGCTCTACCCTCCTGTCCATGGTGCAAGTTTGAAAACTCTAGCTAACTTGTGTGGGAACTCTTCATGTGGGCCTAAAACAGGGTGAAAGCCGAAAATGAGGAGAGCCAGGAGTGTGCCTCAGGTAAGACTTCACCTAATTCTGCTATCCAAAAAAGATGCTTTGGTGTGTCTATAGAGGTTTGCATTATGACAGGACTCTGGAGATCAGCAAGCCATTGCAAAACTGACCTTAGAACAGCTGTGTTTCCACTCCTGGATCAGTTGGGCTCATCTGACAGAAAGCTGATCTCTGTACAGTCTTTATATCAGACTGTTTATGTAGTGTCCAGTAATAAGACTGTGTGAGGCATGAAAAACTGAATTCAGTACAGTAATACTGCTTTCTCAGATTACAGCAGCAGTAATGTAACTTGAGCAGTTACGCAGGACTTTACAAGAAGCATGAAAAAATGATTTCAGTAAAGCAACACTTTTTGAGCGATGCTTAAACTGATGCGAGTGCAGTAATAACTTTAATTTGACTGAGATGCATATAAAACTAATTTTAGTACCTAAAAAAACTGCAAACAGAATGTGATCATAACTATGGTATGCAAGATCTAACTTGATCATAGCATGGAGTTAAGAATACTGTGTAGACAGTGTGTATCCAGTGTACATCTAAAGAGGATCTTTTGTGATCTATAGTGCTGACTATAGAGCTTCGTAGCATAGAAAGTAAGAGAGTAAGTCTTGCATCATAAAAGCTCATAAAATAAAGTCAAGCTTAATCAAAGCAAGTGTAGGTGAAAAAGGGTACAGGACTGGGATCTAATTTCAGCACCATGGACAGCGACCATTACTTTCTTCAGTACAGACGGAACAGCATAAGACTAAGAAAGTTTAGTAAAGATAAAACAGAATAAAATGACCAGGTCTGATTCCCCATTTACTTCATATGAGTATTTCTACCAAAATGTCACACTATTTAAGACTTCTTTTGAGCTATCATTGCAAATACAGCTTCAGAGTTGTTGATGAACTGATAGTAAATACTACAAAAACTCAAACACTAAGATCCTAAAAACCTTTTTAAAGGAAAAAACATTTCAAATCATGTTCTGCAGTAGTGGAATCTGTAGCCATGTTTTACAACACAAAATAATGAAAAAGAAAACAAGGTGAGAACAGAGGAGAGGAGAGTGGAGATGAACGAGTGGAGCGAGACTGTGAGCGAGAGAGGAGAGTTTAATTATCCCGGGTTTACGGCGCAAACGACATTCAGCCTGTCCTCTACAGCTGCACTGTAGAGTTAGTGTGGGTGGGGGTGCGTATGTGCACCACAGTGAGTAAATACAGGGCAAGAATCAGTTATCGCTGAAGAGAAAAAGAAGAATCAAAGATTAAAAACAGAGAGAGAGAATGAGAGAGAGAGAGATGTATCTGGGACAACTGCAGTTACACTAATATAAATTAGCAAACACTCTGCAGCAAGTGGGGGAGGGAGAGAAAGAGGCACTGCTGGAGCTACCACCACCATACCAGCAAAGAGGAAAGAGAGATGAAGAGAGAGAGAGAGAGAGAGAGAGATTGAAGTTCAAATGGAGGAGAGAGAAAGGGGGGGGGGATCAGAGGATTGCTGACCGAGTCAATTATGCTCCTGTAGTTGGCAAAAACACAAAACCCATCCAATACAGAGAGTGCGAGAGAGAGCGAGAGAGAGAGAGAGAGGGAGGCAAAGAGAGAGAGGGAGAGAGATGGAGGGAGAGAGCATGAGAAGGGGAGGGGTCAGGATGGAAGGAGCTGGGGAAAAGGAAGATAACAGAGAGAGAGATGACGTGTGAAGAGGAGGTGGAGGGGGGAGCAGAGAGGGTGGGGGGGGGAATTTGCATGTACAGTGTGAAGGATGTGGAAGCGAGCGAAGATCAAAGGGAAGAGGAGAAGAAAAAGAACGGAGTAAAACCAGCGAAGGAAAAAAAAGGAGAGCATAGATAAGACGGACCGCTCTGGCTCTGGCAGCTGTAAGAGGGGAAAAAGCGCAGGAGTTGCAGAGGGCATTAAGAAGGAGAAGAAACACACAGCAAGAATGAAGAAGAAAAACAGCGACTGAGAAACAGAGAGAAAGAGAGAGAGGGAGGAGGGGAGGAGGGGGCTAAGAGAGATAAACAGGGACAGATATAAGGAGGAAGAGAGAAAGAGAGGGATAGATGGAGAGAAATGAAAAAATAGAATGAGGCATTGAGGGAGAGATTGAGAGAGGGAGGTATAGAAAGAGAGATGAGAGGTAGGAATGGAGGAACTGACAGAGGAAGTAGAAAAGTAGAGGTGGAAAGAGATAAACAGGGTGGTATGGATGGAGAAATGGCAGGGGATGTAGAAGGAGAGATGGAGAAATGGGTAAGAGAAGAATGCACAGAAGAAGAGAGCGAGAGAGGTACAGATGGAGTAGACTGCAGGAGCACAGAGAGAGGTATAGAGGGAGAGAAAGGGAGGTATAGATGAAGAGAAATAGAGGGAGAGAGTATAGAGGTATAAAGGGGAGAGACAGAGGTACAGACTGAAAGAAAAAGGGAGAAAGAAAGGGAGGTATAGATGGAGGAAACTGTGGGGGATAGAGAGGGAGGTGTAAAGAAAGAATATAGAAAGGGATATGTGGATAGAAATAGAGAAATAGAGTGAGGAAGGTATAGCTGGAGACAAAGAGAGGGAGGTATGGATGGAGATACCTAAAGAGAGATAGAGGGAGAAAGAGAGGAAGAGAGAGGTATGGATGGAAAGAGATATTGGGAATAGAGAAAGAGGAATAGACAGAGAAATAAAGAGAGGGTGGTATAGATGGAGAGAGTTTTTGGGAACAGAGAGGGAAGTATAAGACCAGCAGGTATGTATGGAGAGAGACAGAGTACGTAGAAAATGAGGGGTAGAGATAAATAGAAACAGGTATGTATGGAGAGAGAGACAGAGGACTTAGAGAATGAGGTGTAGAGAGAGATAAAAAGAGACAGGTATGTATGGAGAGAGAGACAGAGAACGTAGAGAATGAGGTGTAGAGAGAGATAAATAAAGACAAGTAAGTATGGAGTGAGAGACAGAGGACGCAGAGAATTAGGTGTAGAGAGATAAATTAAGACAGGTACGTATGGAGAGAGAGAAAGAGGACGTAGAGAATGAGGGGTAGAGATAAATAGAGACAGGTATATATGGAGAGAGCGACAGAGGACGTAGAGAATGAGGGGTAGAGAGAGATAAATAAAGAAATGTATGTATGGATAGAGAGACAGAGTACGTAGAGAATAGAAACAGGGAGAGTGAGACATAGAAAGGTTTGAGGGGGTAGAGATAAAGGAGGAATAAATGGGAAGACAGATGCAGAGACAGGGATGTATGGGTGGAGAGAAACAGAGGGAGTAAAGAAGAAGAGAAGAAGTGGAGGTATGGATAGAGAGGGGTGAAAAGGGACAGAGTGACTAGAGATGGAGGTAGAGTGGGACAGACAGAGAAAGGAGAGAGAGAAAAAAGACAGTAGGAGTAGACAAAAAGGGGGACATAGAAATGGGGGGGTATGGAAAGAGAGATAGAGGGGAAACAGAGGGAACAGAGAATGGGTAGCACAGATGGGGGGATAAAGAAGAAGGTACCCTCTGGGAAATAGGGACATAGGGAAAGATGGGTGGAGAGAGATAGAGAGAATACAGAGGGAATAGAAACAGCATAGAGAA